GTACTGCAGTCAGAGAAGTTACCATTGAGCTGTTCGGGCTGGTGAATGACTTCCTGTAGGACTGTATTGAGTAGTTTGATTAGGCACGGGTTCAAATTCCAGAAGAAACCTGAGTTCCTTCAAGATTGTAGAAACACGCCTTGCTGACTGATGAATGTCAATAAGCACGAAACCTAGGTCAAGCTGGGCTTCCGACCGATTACCTCTAACCGTCTAATAAGAACAATGATGGCCACACTACAAACTTGGCTGATAGAATTCAGTCTGCACCAATCGAAGGACCAGATGCATGACACTAGTGTTCAGCCGAAGATATTTATTCCACTTAACGCGAATATAAGTGAGGTAAATTAAAACTTGCAAGTGTTGAGTTTTTGGAGATCAGATTGACTTGAAGGTAGATTTCGATGGAAAGTAGTGAACAGCTTTATCATCGCATTTCAGAACTCTTCAGTAATTTACACTCATGACGGCACCAAAGATGGGATCGATTACCTTCACTTTATGAGGTGGGAATGTTACCAGTCAGGCAATGAGTCGAAATGGCTCATGAACTCTAAATTCTGTCAGTCTGCATTATACTACTGTCGTTCTCTAGTGTCACTGTGCACTGCTGACGAGTTTCAAACTGTAAAGAAACAAGGGTCTACCATGCCCTGGTGATTAATGGTCCCCTTCAAGTGAGTTCAGCTCAGTCTTAAAATGGGAAATGAATAATTTGTAGGAGTGACAGAAGATATATGTATGATACAAACGATTATAATAGAAATTACAAATATGAACAACCAAATTGGTATTCCTAGGTCACCAGTATTTCGAAGAATCAGAATAAAAGCCCAAAGCGATGACGTAACAACGTCAGAAATTTAGTATGAGTCAAATAAGTAAACAGTTTTCACTTTATCAACTGTAGAATAAATCAGCTATATAGATTTTATTAACTCAGATGAAAATCGACAGTGCAAATTTATTCTGGTTTGACTTTGGCATTTTAAAATAAGTTTCCCTAGACTTCGGTCATTATACACGTAGAGATGCTGGGGACTTCAGATGAGTCAAACTTTGAATATTCATATTCAGTTATTGCATTGAATAGACTTGTATAATAAATAACCTTGCTTGTAGATTGTTCAGCCAAAGACAATCTATAACAGTGCTCAGTTTAAGTTCATTACTAGGACGCTTCATATAACTGCTTCACTGGCATGCTGTCTTCAATGAAATGAATCCTATATCGGAAATACTTCACCCCGGAGGTCATATGTGAAACCATTTAAAATTGTCGTGCGGAGGAGTTCATATATCCATATATTACAAGGTACAATAAAAATATGTGCTTCATACAGCCTGTTCCCTTGACCGTCTCCATCAAAGCAAGAAGAATAAAATATGCCACATAAAATGAACGTATTTTATTCCAAGGCTTCTCTTCAACTGCAGACAGCCTGAAATAGACATGGTATTAACAAAATAGGAATAATTTTCAATACTTGGTTTCTAAGGATTAGATTAGTTTCTACGAGTTGATCACAGGTCGGTATCAGTTAGAGAACCATTGAAAACCATTGTGTATACTCAGCGACTGTTTCGCCCTAGTTTGGAACACATAGGTCATACAAACCCATTGGGATTCGAACCAAGGACCTTCAGGTTACATAGCTAGATCGTAGACCATTCAGTCAATGGCCAGCCCATGAATTCTAACTTCAACCATTTCATAATTTTTTAGAGCGACGTCCAACCGATGACATCGTAGGGTATTTGTAAAAGAAAATCTAATCCTTACAAACCAATTAATCTGATGCTTCCTAATGACCTGCTACAGGACAGAGTTTCTTGGAGTTCTGGTGAGAAGTCGTGACCAGTGTGATCCATCCACTCAAGTGTGAGGATGGATTTCCCACCGTCGACATTAGTTGGTGGTTGCGCTAAATCCCGAATTGGTAGAAGTGAGAATTCACGGGCCATTGGATCGGGTCCCAGTGGCTGAATTATATACGAGCCAGCTTGCCTTGTAACCCGAAGGTTCTGGGTTCTAATCTCGCATTGTGAGTGCGTACTGATGAAGAGTCCCAAACTAGGATGAAACAGTTGTATAGTACTCCAGTGCTGGCTTCCCAATGGTTCTCTAACTGATATCATTCCGTGGTTAACTCGTAAAAATAGGAATACAAATCCATTTATTCCGTGATCGGAAATTCGGGTGATGAAGATTTTGATTTAGGAAAACAACAATGCGTGAACTGTGATATTAGCATAATCAATTCCAAGTGACGCGAAAAGAAAGTGGTTACCTATCATAAGTTTGGAAGAATGTTCGAGAAATTTTGTCAGTTGACTTAAGAACAGAAAACACTGATGGGCCAGCAAAATAACAGGGGAAAAAGATTACGTAACAGTATAGAAGTAAGCATTTAAAAGAAGTTGGAAATCCGCTATATGAGTTATAGTCAGAGGGTCAGTAGAAACCATAGTAACGAAAATGATGAAAGTTATAGAAAAATCAAAAAAACAGAATACATAATTATGTAACAAACGGAAAAAAGTGATATCAGATCAAACTAAGATTAAGCACTGTTTCGTTCTGTACACATAAGTTTAGTTTGAGTTGCTTGATGGCGACAGATTCAACAAATCTACATTAAGTTGGGTTTCTTCGTTTACTAACAATGGTAAAAGCAGTTTGAATATCAACATTGTTTCGTGATTCAATTAGATGTTGACGAATAACGCTGGTAAGGGAACACGTCTCTTGTAGTCTCAGGCTTTTTGTGCTATCTTTGGAGAAGCGAATGGATGCCCACCTTTATGTGTTTCCAATGTAATTGATGTGGCATGTAAATGTGTCTGCTAGAGAGTCTAACAGGGCAGGTCAGTTCATCTATAAAAGTGTTGGTTTCGGATTAAGTAGTTAGTTATGTTTATTATAAAAATAATGGTGGCTTTATTCTGGATAGTGTTTATATAATGTACAGAATTTTCAGAGGAGTTTATTGCATGATATTTTCCCTTCATCCAGGATCATCAGATATAATATTAACTGACAAAAGATCGTGTGACACAATGCTGTCTGACCTCAGGCTCCAATCACTCCATTACGATATTTTTTTGTCTCCTTAGAGAGAGAGAGAAAGCCAGCTGTAAAAAGTCCAGGAGTACAGTTTGAGACCCAATGACATAACCCAAGAATAGTTGTCCCCCACGATTTTTCTTTTTCTCAAGTTTAGTAGAAACTTGTGAATCAAGAGGTTGTAAACATTTTAAATACCCGCGAGAGTAAATAATACCATCAGTAGTCATACATTAATTGATTAAAACAAAGTCAACAGGAGAAATTATATACAATATAATGATGAAGATTTTTCGTAGCCTTGGTTTTAAGCAGGCCGCCGTTTCGCAAGATATTTAAATAAACACAATTTTCTCATCTAATTACATTTTTAATGAACATATTTGAAGTAAGTTCAAGGTCAAACCAATGATTCTTAGACCTACAACTTCATAAAGGACTTACTTAATAGTTTCGCAATATCTACAGAAATCAAACTTTCATATATTTGGTTCCCTTGATAAATTTCGACAGAGAAAGAAAGACCAGATTTGCAGTATAAAATGATGTCATCATTCTATTTCACAGGTTCTCATCAGCTGCAAACCACCTTAAATTACAATGGTTATAAATAATAACTTTTCATACTTCAATGTTTGAAAGGTATTGGCGAAAACATTATAAGATAAACGCATCCGGAATATAAGTATTACAATTTTTTTAGTTTAAGTTACCATCAATTTATATACTATCAAACTATGAAAAAAAAGGGGTGAGAGAAGACAGAAAACAGAAAAATCTAATAAACAGTGTTAGCTTGTACGTCAACATGGCAACTCAAGAAGGTTAAAGTTTATCGAATTGAAATGCTTGCTTAGTGAGTTGAGCTCACTAGTGCGTATGAATAATCAGTGTAATGAAAGTAATATGGTTACCAGGGGAGTGAAAGATTGACCACACTCTCTTTCTGTGCGCATAAGTTTGGTCTGAGACGTCTGATTGCAATCGCTTCAGCAAGTCGTGGTAGATTCGCTGTCCTTTTTATGTTCAATATTTTGAAGGATTTGGAAATCTCGACAAAATAACCCGTATCCACAAGGTGTCTGGCAATTGCACTTTAGAAAATATCTGCTTCCTTTTAAGCATAATTTTCTTGGAATATGCTCTGAAAACCGGATAGAAGCCCTTCTTTCTGTCCTTCTGATGTACTTGCTGCCGCAGGTGCACGTAAATTTATAAATGCAGTTGGAGGTAACATCAGCAGGGTACTTATCCAGTTTCGATTGGCTTATAGAGCATGTAGTACTGTATAGTATCAGTAGATTGGCTGCAGGGAAGCATCTCTTTATTGCTCCTTTCATCATCTTTTCAATCTTTTGTGTTACTGCTTCTCCTTTGTATGGGAGGCAAATGAACACTTTCTTCTTCTCTTCAACTGTTGGATACTTCTCTTTCTCATCCCTTTCTTTGCTATACTTTAGGATAAATCCCTTTGGATACAAAGCTTAGTTTACAGCTGATGAGAACCTGTGAAATAGAGTGATGATATCATTTTATACTGCAAATCTGGTCTTTCTTTCTCTATCGAAATCAAACTTTTTCTCAATAATCTGAAAAATCCAATGTCAGACAGTATAAAACTATTGCAGATATTCTCAGTAATGTTCCCCTACGAGTACACTGTCGAATCAATATAAACCTGTCGTCTGATTTAAGCTAGAATAGTTGAAAAAAGGAACGTTGTTAAAAAAATTTCCACTCTTTAATACAATCACAAGACTCAGGATTAGTAAATATCACCATCTATGAGAGTAATACACAACCCAATTCCATCATCTAGAAATTTAATGGAAGAATGCCGTTTAGTTATTATTAATACCTGATTACTTATGCAGTTTGTACAAAATTAAAAAGCAGTTTTTATTTCTTATTGCCTTATTAAGTGTTATAGGCTTCATTTGTTCTGTTCTGATGGTCACTATTCCACATCGAGTGAAGAATCCACCAGTCAATTTCATCATATTATTTGTAATGGTAAGTTAACCCTGTGCATCTAACTTTGAAATGATGGTGTAAATAACACGAATCATACTTCATTACATACGATGTATATTATTCTCAGAAACATTGTTAATAAAATTTAATTTATTTTGGTAAGACAAAATCTGAATTTGATCTGACAAGAAGTAACTCTCTTGAATATTGACTACGAGATAATATCGACATTTGATTTGATGAAAAGTGCCAATCATTTTAGAAGGTAATATTTTAAAGTTAATATTAATAACAGCTTTATTCTGAACAAAGTTTATGTTATGTACAGAATTTTCAGTGGACTTTATTACCTGATATGTTCTCTTCGTCCAAGATCTTTAAATAAAAGGTTAGTTAAAGGATTTCATCATGAGCTGACATTGGTTAGAAAACCATTGGAAAACCACCAGGTAGGGAGTACTGAACAGCCAACTGTTTCGTCAGCCTAGTTTGGGGGTCTTCAGCTGTACTCACCCATCGGCGTTCGAACCCAGGCCCTTTTGGTTACAAGGCAAGCTGGTAGGCCATTGGACCGCTCGAACCCAATCCAATGGCCAGTCCATGAATTCTAACTTCTGCAAATTCATGACATAGCGTGACCACTTCGCAATGTCTTCTTCGATGAGTTACTGCTTCACCTTCAACCTGATGTACCTTACTGGTCATGGCTTACCACTAGAATCCCAAGTTACTACCTGAATAGGGCCAGTCTCTAGTGTGCATCTCATATGATATTCAAGTATTGGTTTGTAGGGATTTGACTGATTGGTTACAGGTTAGCGGTCGTGCTATGTGATGAATTGGCAGAAGTTGGAATTCATGGGCTGGCCATTGGATAGGGTCCCAATGGCCTAATGGTCTACGACCTCACCCTGTAACCGGAGGGTCCTGAGTTTGAACCCCAGTGGGTGCGTACTCGTGAAGATTCCGAAGCCGATGCGAAACTGATGTCCAGTACTCCCTACATGTTTTCCAATGGTTCTCTAACCGATGTCAGTGCATGACGAAATCCTGTAACCAATCAATCAAATCCCTACAAACTAACACTTGAAAATAAAGATTAATGGACAGTAGGCCGCGTGATGCAAACAAATCTATTATGATATCTCTTCTTTTTCTCCTTTGAGAAACACACAACATTTTGTTGAATGACAAATACAAAAAGTTAAGGAGTACGTTTCATGAACCAAGGGTTTTACTCAGGAACGGTCTTCTTATGTATTGGGATAAGCTGACGTCGAAAATAATGCTTTTTTACACGTTTAGTAAAAACTTTTGAATCAGCAGGTTGTAAATTTTTTAAATACCCTCCAGAGTATACATTACTACTAGACGTCATATTTTACTAGATTTAAAACAACTGAATCAGAAAAGATAAATATGCAAGATTTGGACGGAGGATTTTCGGTAGCCCAAGTATTAAGCAGGCCGCCAAAGTATAGAACGTTCCAAGCTATTTAGATCTTATTTAATTGAATTTTAGATTTTCCCCGTCGATTGATTGATTGGACCAAAGTGCTCGGTCTCAGGTTGACATGTCGGCTTCTTGTACAGATGCTTCGACGATGTCTGGGCATGTAATTAGAATTTAATTGGTGGATGGTGATTATCAGTGGAATCCATGATGCGCATTTCTTCCTATTTGGGACTCGTCCGCTGGATGTACCTGCATTCCCCAGTGAGTGATGATGTTCTCACCGAGGCTCGAGACCAGTGCCCATAGTTTCAAACGCCAAAGCGTTATCCACTAGACCACTGGGGCCACGAGAGCCAACTCTTGTGCAACGGGTCATATTAATTATTTAATTGAATTTTAGATTTTCCCGTCGATTGATTCTAATTACATGCCAAAACATCATTGAAGCATCTGCAAAAGAAGCCAACATGTCAACATGAGACCGAGGACTTCGGTTCAATCAATTGGTATTCAAGTATTGGTTCGTAGGGATTTGATTGACTGGTTGGAGGATTTCATCATGAGCTGACATCAGTTAGAGATAAACACAGCGCAACCACCAGCTAGTATCAACGGCTAGTATCTGTTCTCCTATCTGACTTAGTGAATACCACTCGTAATGATTTCTTACAAGAGCTTCAGGCAACCTCCTTTACAGAACCAGAAGCTAATGAGCATTAGATTAATTTTCAGATGTTGATTTGCAGGAATTTGATTGGTCACAAGTTTGAATACGCGCTGACATCAGTTAGAGAACTGCTGGGAAACCATAATTTAACAATTGAAATGAAAGGTAGACACTGTATACTACAAGGCATTACATTATTGTCTCGAGAAACAAAAGTGAATAAAATCAAGCGGCTGAAGCACATTTGAATTTAAACAATGTTACAGTTAAAAAGACAAACTCAGAGAATATTCACATATAACAAACTGAAAAGTTGATCACTGTGTTAATATAGTTGTAGTGCTCTTTACATGGAGGTTGGATACAATCGAGGCTGGAATCAACAGACCGAACCGAATTAATTCAATACTAACTAAATATACTCTTAGGTCGCCTTCAAATGGGGAGAGAGAAGACAAGAATATATTCGACAGATAAGAAGACTCTAGAAGATCTGGACTTTGCAGATGATTTATGTCTAATGTCACATAAACTCGAAGACTTACTGGCAAAAAACAACAAGTTCGAAGAACAGACAGACAGCGTGGGAAGTAGAAAAGGTAGAGGTGATGAAGATACCCAAAAACCATGAATAATAATGAGCACGAATCCCCCTCGACGAGAGGAACCTTAAGCAAGTCATATCTTTTACTTACCTAGCCAAATTCGTTTCAAATACAGGCGGACAGCACGGATGAGGATGTCAAAACCAGGATCGAAAAAGCGAGGCAGAACTTCATCACTTTGATATCATTTTGTAATTCTTCTGCAATCAGCCAGCATAAAGGACGAAATTCCGATTTTCAGCACTAATTCCAAGTCAGACAGTTATTCTATGTGAGTCAGAAACTTGGCGTGCTCGTCATGGAAAGTATTTCCGACAGGCTACAGGGGACTTTTATCAACAGCTGCCGTCTTTGACGCCTCCTTACTGAAGATCAGATGGAGTCAGCAGCAAGCAACCCTGGGGAAGGACCAATCAGGAGCTGTTGCTCAATAAGTGTTCTGAAGAAGATGGACGTGGATCGGACACATGTTGAGAAGAAACTCTGGGTGACATCATGCGCCAGGTCGGTTCTAGAGTGGAACGTTAGTGAGAAACGACGAGTTGGGCCCTAGTCTGAGGGTGAAATGGAGAAGATAGTGTGAGGACGAGATGAGAGACTGAGCAGTAGTGGAACCAGACAAAGAAGACTTCAGAAAAGAAGACAAAATGAAGATTTACTGTTGAAGCCTTATGTTCCACTCGGAACCCAAGGGAATAGTAGTAACTGTCTTCAAATGTTTAAAGTGTCTTAAGTTTTTCCTTATTAGGTACGTATCCGATCAGGTTCGGATACCTTTTTCTACTTCTCCTTGAGCTGCCTAACACTCAGATCCTCAGTGTCCTCTTCCAAATAATCTTGATATTTATTCCACCTAAATAAATTTCTCTCAAGAGAATACCTCCGAGCATCTAAGCCTTTTTGATTTCTGTTTTATTATCAATCAATACACCTTAGATAAGGTAATGGCTGAGTGAGTGCCTGAGGGTACTGTGTTTCTTAAGTTTGATTTTTTTCAAGTCTGACCACGGACGGATAGTAGTTAGAGAACCATCGAAAACTACTGTGTATTGGACGACTGTTTCGTCCGGGATTCGAACACAGGACCCTCAGGTTACAAGGCTAGATCGTAGACCATTCAGCCACTGAGACCTGATTTAATGGACCATGAATTCTAACTTCAACCAATTCTTGATTTTCTAGCACGACCACCAACCAATATAGTCGTAGGGTATTTGTCTTAAATTATTTAAAAATACCATTCAGAACCTGAAACATTCATAATTTCCGCTCATAAGTTACTTCTGGTATAAAAGTTATCCATAAGATACTGTTCAACAAATTTTTATGATTGGATGGAGGATTTCTTCATGAGCTGACATCAGTGAGAGAACCACTGGAAAAACTGGGAGTACTGGACAGCTGTTTCGTCCCACCCACCACCACTACGGTTCGAACCCAGGACCTTCTGGTTGCAAGGCGAGCTAGCTCGTGGACCACTGAGCCACTGGGACCCGTACTGCTGAAGAGTTCCAAACTAGAACGAAACAGCTGTCCAGTACTCCCAGGTTTTCCAGTGGTTCTCTCACTGATGTCAGCTCATGATGAAATTCTCCATCCAATCAAACGAAATCCCTACAAAAGCCAATACTTGAAAATTTTTCTGACTGTCCGATGAAAAAACAAAATCGATCGATTAACTTACCTTCTTCTTCCTCTTCTTCTTTAAATTTTTAGATAATCTCATTGTCTTATTCAATTGCTTTGGATTTTGTGGATATATCATTCAAGTGGATTATTCTACGATGGACATTATCAGTTACGGTGTGTCTGTGTTTCATCTTCGTTGGAGTTATAATTAAACGAGACTTGACAGTTTTTATCTTCCCGCTACTAATTTATTTGTTAAGCGCAATTCTTTTAGCATCGATAACAATTTCGGTGCTTTATATTCTTACAAACAAATATGTGAGTTTCTTTAATTATTATTATTGTTTCCTTTAATTCCTAGAGGAACATAGGGCTTCGGCCGTGCGTCTCCATTGAGTTTGGTTCTCTGCTAGAGTCTTCACCTGGCTCCAAGTCTGCCCACACGCTTTCATCTCCTCTTCACATGACCTCCTCCAAGTCACCCTTGGACGACCAACTCGCAGCTTCCCTTTCGGGTTCCACTCGAGGGCACTTGATGGTTTCCTCAGAGTATGGCCAATCCATCTCCATTTCTTCTTGCCTATTTGTTTCACAATCGGTTCCTGATTGGTTCGCTCACTGCCAGAAATCCCTGTTGCTTATCTTTTCTTGCCATCTGATCTTGAGTATTGAGCGAAGACAACTGTTAATGAAGGTCTGTAGTTTGTTTGAGATGCTCTTTATGACGCGCTGGCCAAGTCTCTTATCCGTATAGCAGCACTGACTTCACACTGGAATTGAAAATCCGGATGTTATTTTTGATGCTGAGTGCTGTTGACCTCCACACAAACTTGAGAGTAATGAAAGCTTGTCTTGCTTTTCCGATTCTTGCTTTGATATCCTCGTCAGTTCCGCCTGTAGTTGAAACGATGCTTCCTAGGTGGGTAGGTAAAAGAGGTTGTTTCTTTTAGATTCCTTCCATTTATACTGATTGTTGTCTTTAAGCATTAGCATTAAGTGATTACTTAGGCCTAATTAATGAAAGATTTACATAACATTCAACAGTTGGTATTATTCTCCCGAATCCCAGGTGGAAAATAGGCCTCCAACAGCATATCTTCACTTTGTTTTCTTCTCTGGAGCCCTCTTCAGCTCGTCCCAGGACTGACCATTGTCTCTCATCTCCTCATCGCATGATCTCCTCCATATCACCCTCGGACACACGCCCAACTTGTCGCTTCCCATTCGAGATCCATTTGACCTATGACCTGGCGAGTGGTGTCATTTGGTGATCTCCTTAGTGCGTCTCCGATCCACATCCATCTTCTTCAGAATATATCTTGGTTAGGCAGTAGGTCCTTGATTTTTCGTTGCCCCACAGATTTTTTTGTTGCTAATTATTTCTGGCCCACCATCTGATCATCAGTGTTGAGCTAGCGAAGATGGCAGCTATTGACAAAAGTCTCTAGTAGCCTGTCAGAAATGCTTTCCAGCAAGTGTCTGACCTATACACGGAGGAATTGACTAACTTAGCATTCGTGCTGAAAATCTGAGTTTTATTGTTTATAGTGAGTGCAGTAGATTTCCAAACGTATCTCAGAGTGATGAAGGTCTGATGAATTCTACCATGGAGATAAGAATAAAAACAGTTCAGTGAAGGGTCTGTTTTCGGTGAATTCATTCACTGAGCTGTACAGTCTCAATTATATATACATAACTGTTAAAGAACCATTGAAAACCAGCACTGAAGTATTGGACAGCTGTTTCATCTTAGTTTGGGAATCATCGGCAGTACTCACCCACGGCCAGGATTCGAACCCAGGACCTTCCGGTTACAAGACAGGCTCGTATACCATTCAACCATTGGGAACCGATTCAATGACCAGCTCATGAATTCTAACTTCTACCAATTCATGATTTAGCGTGACCCCAATCATTGTCGTAGGTGGGACATCCATCCTCACACGTCACAATATCAATCCGTGATCAACTCGTAAAAACAAAACTAACCCTTACAAACCAAACTGTAGAAAATATATGTGACCATTTTTTGTACATGTGTATACATTAGGTTTGTTAAACAATAATAAAAATTAGTTTAAGTTATTGTTTGCGTCATCAGAATATTTCAAAAATGTGATGAGTAGTCAAAACTGTAACTGGAGTGGGAGTAAAGATTAATAATTTTATTCTGGATTGCGTTATCTGGAAAAGTTCAGAAATAGGCAAGAGTAAACAATAGACACCGAAGTCAAATGACCTTGAAGTGACCAATCAGATCGTTCATCATTCATAATGGATGCAGTTCCTGAACTTCGTTGCAAGTTTCACCCAGATTTAGTTTTTGACTTCTGTGTGGAAAATGGGTTGATAGGGAGGTCGAAAACCTGTACATGTGGAGGGACAATGACGCTACAAAAGTATTGCTGGGCTATTGACGGCTACGCATTTAGATGCGAGTCGGTGAGTTGTAGATTATGGTGATTTTTTAGATACTTTCTTCTCCAAATCGAAACTGTCTCTTAGTAAATTATCGCGTATATGTCACAATTGTCTACTAAAGCGCCCAGTATCTGCTACAGCTGCAGAAACGGAGAATACAAAGATTTCAACAGTGCAGTGGTATCATTACTGCCATGATATTGCGTCACAAAAGCTAAATGAGATCACCTCTGTAATTAGGGGAGTTGGCGTCGTCGTGCATGTTGACGGAACTGTACTTAATAAGCGAAAAATAAAATCGAGGCAGGAGTAGAGCGAATCATGTTTGGGTGCTGGGACTTTTCGGCACAAATCATCGAAAAGGGTTTGTAGAACGCATCTCGAACAGAATTGCTGATGTGATAATACCAATTATACAACGACTAGTCCTCCTAGGAACTACTATTCACACAGACGAATGGAGAGGTTATTCTCAATTATTATTACTAGACTATATTCACCACAAAGTTAACCATTCTTCTGAACTCATGAATCCTGTAACAGGAACACAGACAAATTCCACTGAAGAATTTTGGGCTCATCTCGAAAAACGTATCAGAGTGGTGAACGGTTCCCGAAGCGATATGATATATAGCCATTTAGATGAGTTTTGTATCGACATTGGTTTAATTGTCTATAACCACTTCTATGAGAAACTGGCACCAGTTTTTACGGCATATTAGAGACATTCATCCTGTATAATTCATTTTTATTACATATATACATGTTATAAATACAGTTTTTTTTTATTGATGCCACTTTTTAAATGAAAGAATCTGATTGATTGTTTCAAGGTCATCGGTGGTTGATGTCTATTCTTTACTGTTGCCAAGGAATAATTAGATATTAAGAAAGGAACAAGGAGACAAGTATTAAAATAAGTTAAGTAAAACGTGAAAAGAGTAAACGGAAGGCTGGCTAAGACGACGATGATAATAAATGTCATATGAGTAAAATGTACAAAATAATATCAATAACAAAACAATGATAACATTTGGACTTGGAATTATGTGCCAGGTAGAAGGAAGCGATGGAGATGTTTCTTCTGTGTACACAAGTCAGCGTTTTTCCATCTAAGACCTCGGTAATACAAAGTATACGGATGTTAACAGTTTTCGAGAGGCTTCTTTTGACTTCATAGAAAACTTCGTATGAAATCTCCTTGTAAGAAGTAGTTTATCTGGAACGTGTAATGTTTTGGCGCAACACATTTCGGACATTCTGATTACACACGTACCTGTCATACACAGTTTTTATAGAATGCAAGAAGGCATGAATAATTACAATGCAGGTCTGATTGTTTACAGGTCAAGGTCACAAGTAATGGGTAGGGAGATGACGCAAAGGTGTGGGTAAGAACGATAAAAGGATAAAAGCAACGCAAAGAAGGGGTTGAAAATATTATGAAATTAATTCAACCTTGGTTCCGAGTTGGATTACCAAGGCAGGTTTAAAGTAATAACAAAGAACTTTGGGAAATATGAGACAGGTTTAAGTCTTTTTATGGCTGAGGCTTCAATGAATTTAAGTATGTGGCCCAACCTTGTTTTATATATCGGCTTAAAGGCATTGTTGGAATCAACCTTATGACCCGTCTGTATAATATGCTTCGCTATAGATGATGTATTGTAATTATGCCTTCTTGCATTCCATAAAAACTGTGTATGACAAGTACGTGTGTGATCAGAATGTCGGAAATGTGTTGCGCCAAAACATTACACGTTTCAGATAAACTATGTCTTCTTATTGTGTTGTCAAAAATCCCCTTATGTATTGAGTGGCTAGTGTTGAATATATGTTCAATTATAGTACTTCTTATTGATCCACTGGTACCTTTTCGTAGCCTAGTGGGATAATATTCTCCGACCATTTTAGATTAAACGCGCATTGGACGATCGATATGTCTCACTCCACATGAGAAAGTAAGCTGATAGATACACACAGAAGTGGTTAGATAAGATAGTTTATCTTAAGAGTTACTGAAGAACATTGTCTGGTCAGAGAATGTCAGTCGTAATGTAGCAGCAAAGAACGTTCTTTGCAGAACATTTGATATTCTCAGGTTAGAGTGTTAACCAGATGGTCACCACTGAACGCGACATTGATGTATAGCATCTTCTTCGGTAATAGAGTTGGATTGTTCTTTGTTAGTTTGAAGCTTTATCTACAAATCTTGAACGACGCAAACAGTCATACAGACTAATTTTTACTCTTGTTTGATAAACCTAATGTACAAATACAAAAAATTATATATAACTTGGATTGTACAGTTAAACGAATGAATTTGCCGGAAAGAAACTTTTCACTGAACTGTTCGTTCTTATTTCCATGTATGGATGGGTATCATTCATGTTTACAATGTGCTCACCAAGCTAGATGGCTCACCATTATGGTGCTGATGAGTACCAACAAGCACAAAACCTATATCCAAGTCTTCCCACTGACTTCCTTCAACCATCTAATATCAACACTCTCAAGATTGTATAAAAGTGTATGGTGAAAACTCTGGCAATTCAAAACTAGGTTTTTGTTGAAACCTGAAAACATAAATACTGATATTTTGCAAAATAAATTACATTGTTTTTAAAAACTCTACAAGCAAAGTGTACATTTATCAATATTTTTTACAGATTTTGTACGTAAGCTTCTGTATATTTGAATTCGTGACCGTGATTCCGGTAAGTTGTCAACATTAATTAACTTTATCCTATGAATTGTGGTACCGTAATATGTTCCAGTAATAATACTATTTAAAACAAATAGACCCTTTTATAAATTTTGATAGAGTTATTTGAAGACAGAGATTATCTAAAAAATGTGATGTATTTGCGCTATACATTTCGAACAATCTGATCACACATTCACTTGTCAAGTCAATATACATGAAAAAATTAAGGGCAATTCAGTTAAACAAAGTGACAAAAAAAGAATTAAGAATAATTAACACAAACGTTTGGTAATCCAATCAAATAAGGATTACCAAGGTAGGTTAAGAGTAATGACAAACTGTTTTTGAATACACAAGGGGGGCTTAAGTTTATGAATGGCTATAGCCTCAGCGTATTTCAGTAAACGCCCTTGACCGTTTTTATAGATGACCTTAAAGGCTGAGTTAACATCAATCTTATGGCTCATCTCGATTAGATGTTTAGCTATAGATGAAGTTGGTAGTCTGACACCTGCATCTATTGGCTTCTCACAATTCATCTGTTTTTCTAACCATTTTGGGATATGCTCTCCCACTCACCTGGACAGGGCCAAACCTTAATTTTCACAGCTTCTGTCCACTACAGTATAAGAGAGGCTTGGTGAAGTGTCTGTTTAAGAGGATTCAGCGTATTTGCACGGCTGATGTTATAGACAAAGAAAACGAAATATTGATGGATACTTTTGTTGAAAACGGATATCCTTTGAAATTTTTAAGCAGGTGTAGAAATCAACCAGCCTCTAAATCTACAATCCATACCGTCCCTAAGTAAAAGGTTTTCATCAAATTTCCATAAAACGGGGAAATAAACAGTAGGATTTTGAGACAAAGGTTGAATTCAATCATCCGTAGAACCTACTATGCAGCCCAGCTTGTAATTGTGGAAAAAGCTAAAAATATGCTTCACTGCAAACCTCAAAAGTGCGCAAGTGATTACATCACATCCCACACAATTTACCAATTTTCGTGTGTGTGGGCATACATTCATAGGGAGGAGTAATCGCGCTTTGTACGTGAGGGTGGGAGAGCATATCCCAAAATGGTTAGAAAAACAGATGAATTGTGAGAAGCCAATAGATGCAGGTGTCAGACTACCAACTTCATCTATAGCTAAACATCTAATCGAGATGAGCCATAAGATTGATGTTAACTCAGCCTTTAAGGTCATCTATAAAAACGGTCAAGGGCGTTTACTGAAATACGCTGAGGCTATAGCCATTCATAAACTTAAGCCCCCCTTGTGTATTCAAAAACAGTTTGTCATTACTCTTAACCTACCTTGGTAATCCTTATTTGATTGGATTACCAAACGTTTGTGTTAATTATTCTTAATTCTTTTTTTGTCACTTTGTTTAACTGAATTGCCCTTAATTTTTTCATGTATATTGACTTGACAAGTGAATGTGTGATCAGATTGTTCGAAATGTATAGCGCAAATACATCACATTTTTCAGATAATCTCCGTCTTCTAATAACTCTATCAAAATAATACTATTTCTAATAGATTACCGACCGATACAATTGCACTACTGAACAGCACTATACACGTATCAGTGTTTTCTGACTTCAAGAGTATATGGCTATTTAGGACAATGTTCAATAATATTATACTCTTTCTCGAACAACATCGATTATCATTACTTGAGCATTATTCATCACCATCAACAGGAGAGATTTAACAGCGGTTACCTACTTCACTTATCCGGTTAGGCAGCATTGTTTCAAACACAGGTAGTCAGAGAGCATGGATGAAGATGTCAAAGCCAGCCAGAATCGAAAAGGCAAGATAAGCCTTCATCAACCTGAAACCAGTTTGGAAATCTTCTGCTTCACTCAGCCAACTTGAAGAACAAGATTCGTATTTTCAACACCATTGTGAATTCAGTCAGACAGTCGGTTTTTATATAAGGGTCAGAAACGTACAGTCGGTGTGTCACAAAAAGGATTTCCAACAGCCTGTTACAGACTTTTATCAACAGCTGCCTGCCTTCGCTGGCTGGCTCCATACTGAAGATCAAATGACCAGGCAGCCGGCCAGAAAGAATTAGCAACAAGAAAATCTGAAGTGCAACAAACGAACCAAGAACCGATCACTCAACAAATATGTAGGAGAAAATGGAGATGGGTCAGACATACGTTGAGGAAACTGTCGAACGAAATTGCGCATTATACAGGCCATCGCTCGACTGGAATCCCAATGAGAAGCGACGAGTGGGTCTTCAGTGCGAGGGTGACATGGAGTAAATCGTGTGGTGACGAGGAGATGAGAGATTATGGGCAGTCGTGGGCCCAACCAGCAGTAGAGGACAGCAGAGAATAGAACCAAGTTGAGATGTGTTTTTGAAGCCCTATTTTCCATTAGGGATCCAAGGAAATGATACATAAATAAATAAATAGCTATCCCGAAAAATTTACCAAGAAACACAAAGAAAGCGGAAAAGGACTACTCACTATCTGTAAACAAGAAGCCTCCTTATATACGACTACAATTCAAGGGCGATATACCAAGTGAAATAATTACGAGGAAATTAACAAAATCAGCTCAAAGAACTTTTAATGCTGGCGAACTACGCGTCATATTCTCCACACGACCGGTGGTGCTACCTCGACTGAAAGATGAAGTACCTAGAGTAGCTACTTCAAACGGTATCTACCAATTCAACTGCGCTTGTGGAGAGAGTTATATTGGCCGTTGCTCTAGGAACTTGATTATTCGTGCTTGAGAACATATCCCACTATGGCTAAGTAAAGTTGTAGTGAAAACCATTAACAGTTCGATATTGGCCCATCTGGTGCAGACACACCACAAAGCCAACGTTGAAGAATCCTTCTCTATCATTTACCGGGTGCCTAATAAATTGTCAAAATCAACGAAGCACCGCATGCTCCAAACAGCAGAAGATATTGAAATTCGCGTGAAACATTCAGTGCTCTGTGTTCAAAAGAAACAAATCCAGTAAGCCACTACTACTGCCCTGGCCGGCCTTCAGTATAGACTATAAATTCATGAATTTGTAATATTATCTTTCTTAATTTTTCTGACATTCAGCTTATTTTATGTTGATGCTATTCAGCTGTAATCTATCAATATTATTGATTCGATGTTATTTAAACAACATTAATGTTGTTCATAACACTAATTCATTCATTCACTATTATGTGTATATATAACTGTAGAGCCTGATGATGAAGTTATCGAAAAGAATACTCTTTGTTCAGTATCCATTCTTTTGAAAAAATTAAGCATAAATCATAGTAAAAACTGTACCAAGTCATTTAAACTTTACAGGCAGCTGACATCAATTGCAAAGTGAACCCTTTTACCGGACGTCATCAATCTGAATTAGGTAACCATGAAATACTTGTTATGTTAGAAAAATTGTCCTAATGATTTAATTTTTCTTCCTTAAATAACAGTACGAGAGAGTGCCATGTTAAAATATGGAGCAGAAATTGGAACTGTTTTGGGAATTTTTCAGTAATTCTTCAAAATCAGAGAATTAAGTCAGGCACCTAGTGTCACCTACTGTACTAGTTGATTAGTCTGTACTAAGCCCAGAAAAAGAGGGAAGATTGGACGTGAGGAATGAAATGGAGATGGATTTGACACACACTGAAGAGACTGTTGAGTGGAATCACACCCGAGGCTCTCAAGTGGAACCCAGATAAAGTTGACTGCAGAGAACAAGATGGAATGGAGATATGTTGCTGGAACACTTAACTAAACCTTTACTGATTTAAAGTGAAATGATTCAAGGTCTAAGTTTTAGAATAGGATTTCCTTCAGGTATTAGCACCTGACACATCATCAATTAGTTGTTGATGCTGATTGGATTTAAGGATACCTTGTAAAACTACCAAGGAAGGCAGACATAGGTCTTCATGAAGACTTGCACCAATCATGCTCCCGTCCACCTCAAGTAACCTATCCAGTCATATCACCCTGAAAAGACTAAGACATGTTTCTATGCAAAACAACTCCGCCCCTCATTCCCGAAACTCCAGAACAATATCAATTCAGCAAAAGCAAATCATATACGATTAAAATTGCAACATCACACATCACAATCGAACACAACATAGAATGCCAGTCTGTCAAATCTCTATCTCAACTTCATCCAATTTGAAAACCCGTTCCACAGCGTTGACAGTAAGTTAATTTGGAAACTGCCTCAACACTATGCAGTGCAGTGCCTCTAATATTTATCAATCGTATTCAACAGCTGTATGATAATTCTACGTGTCAAGTGATCTAGAACGGAAAACTCAGTGAAGAAGGATTCGGAGCGGAGACAGGAGTGAGTCACGGATGCTGCCTATTATCACTGATGATATTCCTGATTGCGGTGAAGTAGACCATAGAGCAAACTGTAGGGAGAGGCAAGATAGGTATATAATGGGCCGATATGAAGGCTCTAGAAAATCTGGACTTTTCGCATGGTTTATGTTCCATGATACACGAACTTAAGGATCCATAGGTGAGAACCAAAAGGCTGATAGGAGAAAGAGGGAAGAAAGGATTTCAAGTGAACACAGACAGGACAGAGTTGATGGATATGAGCGACCCTCAGCAACAACAACGAACAACATCACTAACAAGGAGAAAAATCTGAGGGAGGCTACTCCTTCCACTTAACAGGGCAGCGTCATTTCAACTACACACAAAACTGATGAAGATATCAAAGTCAGATTCGGAAGGGTGAGACAGACCATTTATCTGAAATCGGTGTGGAAATCTGCTTCACTCAGCGTAGAGTTAAAGGCTTCGAATTTGAACAGTAATGTCAAATCAGTGCTTCTACATGCTTCAGAGACCTGGTGAGTCACCGAGAGCATTTCCAACAGCCTTCTTCAGACTTTTATCAACACCTACCTTCATTTGCTCGATTGTTGAATATCAGATAGGCAAAAAGGATATATAATACGAAACTCTGAGAAGGGGATACTCAAGAACTTTATTGGTCCCAAACTAGGCTGAAGAAGCAGCTGTCCAGTACTCACTGCAACTTATTCAGTGGTTCTCTAACTGATGTCAGCTCCTGATGAAAACTCAATCAGTTAGTGAATGATTGAGTGATTAGATTAAGATCAACCGACAGAAAAGAACGATGATTATTCTAAATCTTTTCACCTACCAACATGAAAACTCCACATTTATTATTTATGGTAAAGTCAGGTAACAAACTTGAATGGAACATATTGTACACATAATTACGTAGTTTCATAAAATGTCTGATTGCTCCTCATCAAAACAAAATATGAAGAGTAAATATTATCTTGATTTTCGCACGTCTCTTTTTGTTGTTCATAGTTCAATTAGAAAAAATAAATAAATAAACAAACAGAATAAATGCTGACGTATAAAAACTGTTGAAATATAAAATATACTAAATATAAATCAATAAATAAGTCAATATAAATAGTCTGACGATAAAACCCAAAAATGCGGGCTGTGGTTTCACTATAGCGATATTATGTTATCTATTACCATAGTATTAAATTATATAAAAGTCAAATAAAACAGGAACATTTAAACAAATGGAGTAAAGTGAAATGAAATGTTTAAAAATTATCCTGATTTTACATCTCCAGTAACTATGTTTATTATTATTATTATTTTTCCCTTGGGTACCCAGTGGAAAATAGGCTGTCAACAGCATACCTCCATTTTATCCTGTTCCGTCCAGCTGTCTACATGATTGACTGCACATAATGTCCCTCTCATCTCCTCCTCCATGTTACATTCGGATCACCAACTCATCGTTTTCCATTCCGGTTTTACTCACATGCCATGGCATGTGATATCACTCAAAGGTCTCTTCAGCTTGCATCCGACTGACCTCCATATTTGCTGACCAATAAGGTTCTTGAGTAATACGTCCTCAGAGTTTCGTATTACGTATCCTTTTTTCGCTATCTGATATTTAACAATCAAGCAAATGAAGGCAGGTGTTGATAAAAGTCTGAAGAAGGCTAATGGAAATGCTTTCAGTGACTCGCCAAGTCTCTGAAGGATATAGAAGCACTGTGATTTGACATTACTGTTCAAATTCGAAGCCTTTAACTGTACTCTGAGTGAAGCAGACTGCCACACTGATTTCAGATAAATGATCCGTCTCGCCTTACCGATTCTAGCTTTGATATCTTCATTAGTTCTGTCTGTAGTTGAAATGACGCTGTCATGTTAAGTGGAAGGAGTAGCCTCCCTCAGATTTTTCTCCTTGTTAGTGATGTTATTCGTTGCTGTTGCTGATGGTTGTTCATATTAATCAACTCTGTCCTCTCTGTGTTCACCTGAAATCCTTTCATCCTTCATTCATCTATCAACTTTTTGGTTCTCACCTGTGGATCCTTAAGTTCGTGTATCATGCAACATAAAACATCCGAAAAGTTCAGATCTTCTAGAGCCTTCATATCGGTGCATTGTATTCCTATCTTGCCTTTCCCCATAGTTTGCTCTATGGTTCACTTCACCGCAATCAGGAATATCATCAATGATAATAGGCAGCATCCGTGACTCACTCATGTCTTCGCTCCAAATCCTAGTTCACTGAGTTTTCCGTTCTAGATCACTTGACACGTAGAATTATCATACAGCTGTTGAATGCGATTGATAAATATTAGAGGCACTGCACTCCATAGTGTAGACGAAGCAGCTTCCAAATTACCTCACCGTCAACGCTGTCGAAGACGATTTCAAAGTGGAAGAAGTTGAGATAGAGATTTGATTGACTGCCACTCTATGTTGTGTTCGATTCTGATGTATGATGTTGCAGTTTTAATCGCATATGATTTGCTTTTCCTGAATCGATGCTGTTCTGGAGTTCCGGGGAGTGGGTTGGAGTTGTTGTTTTGCATAGAAACATGTCTTAGTCTTTTCAGGGTGATATGAGTGGATATTTTCCTTGAGGTGGACGACAGCATTATTTGTGTGAGTCTTTATGAAGACCTATGTCTACCTTCCTTAATAGTTTGAAAAGGTAGTCTTTTCTTCCTATCACTATATATTTTTCCTTACTGCCTGTTGCCTTCTCCACATTCATTAGCTTGGATGGATACCACGTGTTCGCAGACAATCATTCATTGTTTCGCCTCTTCTTTCGTTTAAAAACAGCTGTATACATTTCCCTAAACATTACATTCAGAGAGTTCCAACGTTATTTTATGCAGGTTTCCTCAATGATGTGATTTAGTGTCCCTGAATTAGCCCTAATAAATGCAGTGAAGGTATCTTTTGTAGTTTCTTTCTTGATTTCCTTAGTGGTGAAGGTGAATCGTGGTTTATCTCCAGCTATTCTGAAGGCTTTTAGCTTGACCTTGAAAGTTTCTTAGACTAGATGACGGTTTGAGCCGGCATCTGCTCCCCTCCTCGGATTTGTATCCAGAAGACTGCGTCTTCACTTTCTTGAGATTGGAGTGTGGCCTTATATATATCTTTGTGATTGTACACGCTGCCTCCATTCACCGGATCACTGAATCCACGAGTCTGAGAAGAGTTCTCCGTTCTCATTCATTTAGTTAAGAGTCTCTCGATGCATTATGAGCTTTCTTCCTATGTAGTTTGCTCCCGTTTTAGTACTCACATCAGTACTGCTTGCTATCAAAAAGCCAGACAGTCGCTGTGCCTGTTTTGGGCTGAGCACATCAGTAATATAAATGACGAATTTGATTCTATATATGGCTAGTTCACCCAAGTAGCTAGTCAGAATCCAAATGGTTTGAAATGATTCGGCTCTCTGATCTGAATCGAAATCAGGTACAGTGTTGATTCATATGGCCTCCAAAAAGTGAAATGACCATCCGGTGCTCAGGTCACTTCAGTCTAGCTAGCAAAAATTACAGTGATTCCCGACTACTCATTTCTATCAATCAGTAGTATAATTACATCACCCTAAAATACATATTGATGGAGACTGGACTTTATCACACCACTCAAATTATATCTAAATGTAGAAACTCTCAACATATTTTTAATGCATGCTAATAATTCACCCGTTTAATGAACATATTTCATACTGTTTAGTGTCTAATGGTCGCAGGGCAAATGCTATCAAGTAAACGAGATGTTCATTTCACAGATGATGACTACACAACGGCGGCTATGATTTATTTCTTATTAATATTGCAAGCAGTGACGTCAACAGTTGGACCGTTTCAAACAGATACAACAAAATCAAATGAAACAAGTTTATTAAGTTCAATATCATGGTTTGAGACTACAGACTAGGTAGAAGATAGTCTGTCAGTCAGAATTTAAATTATACAAATATTGATTTCCTATATGTGTTAATCAGAAAGTCATCCAATCAGATTTCACCATGATGTTTGCTGCCCACCAATCGTCCGAATACTGTAACCTATAATTAGTTTATGATACTTCTTTGTATGACGATTGTAATTATATCTTTGTTATTACACAGTACCTCTGTCTGTCTCGCTCGTTCGTTTTGAAAATACACATTTCCATTATTAATGTGTAATTATATACATTCCACGAGCAAGTCATCTTAAAATTACCAGTTGAGATCAGTGAAAATCTACTACGAAATTATCAAGTGTTCATCATGCTTAACTTTATTCATGTGGAAATTCAGCAACGTAACAATTATACACGGCATTATTATACACAATCTACAACTCAGAAATTTCCATGACTAGCGTACAGGGGTACTTAAAGATGACCTTTACCTAAATTGTTTATCGAATTTCCTATTTTGAATCTCAATCAAGAATGTAAAGAATACAATTTCTGCGGAAGGATAGCAATTTTAAGACATGTAAATATAAGGTGAACAATATCCTACAAGCTCGACATTTCATATTAGATAAGTTCATCTGATATAACACACAGTGAGTGATGTAGTATTGTGACGACAGAAGAGAAGGACCAGGCAACAGATTGTTTATTGAGAAAATCAAGAGGTATTTATAGATTTTTAAGTGTATTATTATTATTTGCGGAGAGGCAACCTCTTCTGATTGGTTGTTTTCTTGCTGAAGGTTATCCCGAACTGCTTGTGATCGTTTCTCAGAAAGTTAAGCCATGTATCTGAGAATCGTATTTGCACAAGTTAAGTTCGCTGTAATTGGTTGGTGAGTTCCTCAAGGTTAAGCTTTGTTATTGTTTTCTTCCCATGGCCCTTACTAGGGACGTGAACATTGACGTAAATTGCTTGACTTATACTAACTGTTGTGGATTTCATTGACCGATGAAGCCATGTTTTGGTTTGACCGCCGCTAGCTCTTTTCCAGCCTGACCCCATATCAGCTAACATTGCGCGTCTAGGAAGGCGATGACTAGGCATGTGTAACACATGTTCTAACCATCTCAGTCGATGTAACTTCACGGTCTCGTCGATTGATTTCCCCGCCTTACCTAGCACTCGATCTATCCCTAACCTCAATATTGCTCACCCTGTTATGCAACTCAACACGGGAGATAGAACGCAGGCACCTATGATCAAAGACAGCTAGCCTTTTCATGTCTTTCACTCTCAATGTCCAGGTCTCACAGTCATAAAGGAGGCATGGTTATGTATACCCAGTGATATTAATTTTTTTGTGTTTACTGTTGTTGAGTAAATTAAATGCAATATTGTAGAAAATGCTTGGAATTCCACAGTATATCATAAGTACTCTTTTGGAATAAAGCAAATTACTATTATTATCTGAGATTTTTTATTCCTTTACGTTCCCAGTGGAAAATAGGGCTTCAAACTGGAAATCTGAAGTTTCAGTAGCAGTGGTGTTTATTTTTACAGGATGGGGTTGCTAGCCTCACATCCAACCTTCCCTCTTTACCAGTCTTATTACTGGCTTAGCAAGGTAAAGGAGTGCGTTGGCCGGGGACCGAACACCGGACCACATGAGGCTTGGTTGACGAGCATTTTACCGCTGTGTCACTGACATTAATCACTTTTTACTTGAAAATTATACAAACATTACACCGTCAGAGTAGGATTAGGGCACTGTAGTAGAGTATAGTTCCATATAAGATACGTTTAGTTGATATAACACATAGTGAGTGATATAGTATTAATGACTGGATGATGTTTTGGGCACAATTTACCACTCATAAACATATTTATTTATTCACATGGTTTCATAAGTTGCTCAGTATATTTTTCTTCGACCATCCATCCCTCCCCCTCTTTGTTGTTTATTGCCGTATAAAGAAGGGATATCAGAGGCCTTACATAGGATTCTTAATAAAGCTGGAATTAGAGTAGCATTTAAACAAACCAACTCACTCAGACGTAAGCTTTGTCTGCTTAAGGACATGATAGATACAATTGCTAAATACCATCTAATGACTGTGAAGTCAGTTACATAGGTCAAACTAGTAGATCAGGGTCAATTAGATTATTAAAAAACATAATTTTTTTAGAGTTAGGATGGTTGAATTTTCTAAGTTAAATAATCTAGAAAAACCTTGGCCACTGCAATGCATTCACTTTCATATAATCATACAATAAAGTGGGTCAGCATGAAAGCTTTGGAAAGTAATACAGTTAGCTGGAGAGGCAGAGATTGATCACTAAGTTTCTAGTAATAGAATCAACAGCGAACACGTGTAATCAAAGTGACACAACACCTATAGCAGATTCATAGATAATTATAATAAAAAACCACTGGAAGAGGAACAAGACATATAAGCGAACAATATTGTTTTCAATTAGATCTTCTTCAGGCTTTACTCTAATTTACATAGATATATATTTTAATCAATGACGGTGAGACACATGAACACCAGGTATAATAAAAAAAGGGAACTGACAACAGTCAAAAACAATTGTTCTTAAAATTGCAATTTAATGGGGACGTGGCCAGTGAAGTCCTACATCTAAAATTATCGAGAACAATAAAACGGAATTATACTGCCGCCGTCGTTTGTTTGTCATTTTCCAGCCGACCAATTATGACTGCTCAAGTGAAAGATAAGCTACCTAGGTGTGCCACTTCTATGTGTATCTACAAATTTAGTTGCTAATGTGGGGAAAGCTATATAGGGTGAACAACCAGACAACTCAACAAACACAAATAATGAGCATCTTCCTTCATGGTTTGGAAAAGGACAAGTAAAATCTATAAGAAGTCTTATTTTGTTTCATTTGATTGATAGCCGTCACCAAGTGGACAGAAGAAGTGCCTTCTATCGCATTCCATCGAACCTTTCAAACGGAATTGGAACGGGCCTTTTACACATAGCCAAAGCTATGGAAATTTGAGAGAACAATCCCAGTCTTTGCATACAAAAGAAGTTTGTTCTACTTTTGTCTCTCTCTCTCTTGGCCTAGGTGAATTCTATTCAAAACCATCGCACCCTTTCTTATTTTCCATTTCCTTCGTATTTTTATGATATTTATTTAAACTATGATTATCTGTCCACTTCACCCTTAGTATTACGTAACTTTTAGGATCTGACCTAATTTATTTATTGCATGGTCTACATATACACATATTACTACATTTGTTATTCTTATCGCCACCTGAATAAGCCTTATTACCATTATTTCTGTTATCATCACAATTATCGTTACTTCTGACGTTCAAAACACTGAACACTTATTATTATTTGGTCCACAAACTCAGCGTCATTCGTTAAATTCTGTTTTATATATAAATCTATGTAAATTAGAGTGAAGCCTGAAGAAGATCTAATTGAAAACAATATTGATTACCGGGTTTCATCATGAGCTGACATTGGTTAGGAAACCATTGGAAAACATGCAGCGAGTATTGGACAGCCAGCTGTTTCGTCAGTCTAGTTTGCGACTCTTCATCAGTACACACTCATTTCCCAGGATTCCAACCTGGGACCTTCTGGTTACAAGGCGAGCTAGGTCGTAGACCATTAAGCCACAGGTACCCAATCCAATGAAGAATCCCAAACTAGGCTGACGAAACAGCTATCCAGTACTCCCTGAAGGTTTTCCAATGGTTCCCTAAATGATGTCAGCTCATGATGAAATCCTCTAACCAATCAAACAAAATCCCTACAAAACCAATACTTGAAAATTGATCTGATGCTCACTAGCGACTGGCCCTATTCAGGCAGTTAACCTGGGTTTCTAGTAGGAAGCCGTGACCAGTAGGGTACAGCAGGTTGAAGGTGAGGTAGTAACTCATCGAAGAAGACATTGCGAACTGGTCGCGCTATGTCATGAATTGGAAGAAGTTAGAATTCATGGACTGACCATTAAATCGGGTCCCAATAGTTTAATAGTCTACGAGATAGCTCGCCTTGTAACTAGGTCCTGGGTTCGAACCCAGGTGTGGTGTGTGCGTACTGCTGAAGAATCTCAAACTAGTCTGACGAAACAGCTGGCTGGTTTCCCAATGGTTCTCTAACCGTTGTCGGCTGATGATGAAATCCTGTAACCAATTTTATATTAGTTCTTACCCGATTAGTGCTTTCTACATTATAGTTTTTCCCTTCACGTTCTCCAGTGGAACATAGGCCTTCAAGCTAGTGGCTTGAAGTTTTTGTAGTAGTGTTTATTTTACAGGATGGGGTTGCTAGCCTCATGCCCAATCTTTCCTCTTCACCGGCATTATTTCTGGCTTAGCGAGGTAAAGGAGTGCGTCGGCCGGGGATCGAATCCTGGACCATGTGCATGGTCGGCAAGCGTCCTAACCGCTATGCCACTGACGTGCAGTGCTGAATCGATAAACAAAGCTTCAGTGATTAACCTCTCTTTCTCTCCGCCTTTCTACATTACGTAATTTTTTATCTAAAATTTACAATTCTAATGACAAATCTTTGGAAATATTCATTATGTTGCCAACAAAATTAACTATATACATGTATATACATGCAATTGTACAGCTTGAGAATGATGTCGCCGAAAAGAAGAGTAACCCATCACTGAAAGCCTTTTCTTTTGTCTTTGAATTCAGTAACACAATGAAAAAAATAACTGAGAATGTTTCCGATTGGACACTAGTCAGTAACTATTGTAATATGTGTGTCTAGTCCTATCTTCGGTGCAGACTGAGTTCTATCATTGAGTCAAGTTTGCAATGTGACCACCACCATGCCAGTAAATGGCTCGCCATTACGGTCCCCTGAGAATTGTTGGTATTAGCTCAGTAGTAACCTATCTGACTGCAGTACTCACTGCAGTGACACGGATTCGAATCTCAGAAGGGACACGGATTCCTTGCTGACTGACTGATGAGTGCCAACTAGCACGAAACCTAGGTCTAGTCAAAGGCTTCCTGTAGCCGATTGCCTCTAACCATCTAATATCAATAATAGAGAATGTTATTAATATGCTGTAATACTGTCAAGTGAACACATAAGTAAAATTGGGACTTTTTAAAAAAAAATAACAAATAATCATCAATAATGTACATTTATTAGCAATCACACACACACACAATGCATATATAAATTTATTCAAAGAAATATAATAATAATAATAATGAGATGAAGGAGAGAATAAGAAAATCATTTTCGATAAAATTTCAACCACCAATTGTGTATACTATCACTGGTTGTACACAATACTTCTAAACCTCTTTGATCTTCATTATTCAAACCAAAAAACATACTAGGCAAGCGTTTGACATCTCGTTCACGTTTTATAGCAGCTGAATATGTGGATATACAATTTAAAATGGTTAAATCACTTCGGCCTAATAATGCCATATCTTCTTCAGGCAGAGAATCAGTTTTCCAGACAACTTTTTCTACCTATTGATTGATTGATTGTTGTTGTCGTTTTGAATTCAAATTGTGAAAAGATAATAATAAGAAGAAGAAAGTGTTAATTATGTGGGTATTTAAATTACTTATAGAATAATACAATTATTATTATGAATAAACAATAATTATAATCATTACTATTCCCTTGGGTACCGAGTGAAACATAGGGCTTCAACAACACATCTCCACTATGTTCTATTCTCTGCCATCCCATTCAGCTTGATCCAAGATTTCCCAAAATCTCTCATCTCCTCCTCGCCACACAATCTCTTCCATGTCAATCTTACACTGACCACCCACCCTTCGCTTTCCATTGGGATTCCACTCGAGAAACTGACGCGCGATGTCATTCGACGGCCTCCTCAATGTATGCCTGATCCATATCCATTTTCTCCAGCATATTTGTTGAGCAATCAGATCTTGGTAGGTTTGTTCCCTGACAGAGTTTCTTGTTGCAAATTCTTTCTGGCCGGCCGGCCGGTCATTCGATCTTCAGTATGCAGTCAGCGAGCGGAGGAGGCAGCTGTTGATAATCCTTTTCGCCTCACGCTGTGCAAGTTTGTAACCCGCATAGAAAAAAAGACTGACTCGACATTGGTGTTGAAAACCCGAATCTTGTTGTTGACGCTGGCTGAGTGCAGTGCAGAAGATTTCTAAACTCGTTTCAGATTGATGAAGGCGTATCTCACCTTTCCGATTCTCACTAGCTGGCATTGACACATTCATCTGTTCCGACTGCGTGTGGTTGAAATCATGCTTCCTAGATAAGTGAAGGAAGTAACCTCTGTTAAATCTCTCCTGCTGATGTTGATTGGTGCTGGTTGTTGTTGTTGTTGCGGTTCGTTGGTTATCTTCATCACCTCCGTCTTCTCCATGTTCACTTGCCTACCGGCCTCTTCAGCCAGCTTGTTGGTTTTCGCCTTACTGCAAGTTTCCGAGTTCGTGACACTAGACATATATCATTTGCGAAATACAGATCTTCTAGAGTCTTATTATCGGTGGTCCAGCGTATTCCTGTCTCCTCTTTCCCCACACACAGTCTGAAGCATAATCCAGTTCACCACAATTAAGAATATCATCGTAGGTGATAACAGGCAGGTAGCCAGCTTGTCTTACTCCCGTCGTCTTCACTTCGAACGCCTCGCTGAGTTTTCCGTTGTGGATCACGTGATACTTGGCACTGTCATATAGCCAGGTGCTGAATGAGGATAATAAAGAATTGGGCACTGAGCTCTGTAGTCTTGAGGTAGTTTCCAAATTACTTCTCGGTCAACCCTGCACTGTTTAAGTCCTCTTCGAAATCGATGAAGTTGAGGTAGAGAGAGGTTTGACTGACATTCAATGCTTTGTTCAATTACGAAATGTAGAGTTGCACTTCGATCAACACATGGTTTGCCCGCCTTTCCTGAACCAAGCTTGTTCGGGGCGGAGTTCTGTATCCAGTTCATCCTTTATTCTCTCCAGGATGATGCGATTTAGTATTAGAATAAACAACAATGTTTGGATTAAAACAGATAAGAAGTTAGTAGATCAATGACGTATTCAAAGTCTTGTTGTGAGATATTGGGGAATCTCTGGAGATCACTGTGTACAGTAGTCATCTAGAAGTTCCCCATGCCCAAAGTTGACAATCATTTGACTAACCAAGCTGGTCAGTGTTTCCAAAATACGCTTACAGTTTTGATGCTGTATATGATCGATATACTTTGCTCCATAAGAACAAATTGACTGAAAAATACACGCTGAGATGATGAGATGTGCTACTCTGTCCACAATGCACGAATCAATTATCTGTCTAATAAAAAAAATATGATTCTCAAGATACCTGTGTGAAATCTCTTTTTCAGATACTTGAAAAGATAGTTTTTAAGAATTTCGGCTTCAATGTCACCTTTACACTCCAGGTTCATGAAGAGAGTTCTCTTGGAGACTGTTAGAACCCTTTCATGATGACAGTTCCTCTATCATTGTTTTGGTCAACAAATCCGGATAAATATTCATTTTTAATAAGGCGTAATAATAAGAGATTTTAATTTCACAATGTATGCACTGAAATTTGTTACCTGATTAGTGGAACGTGGTTGTTAATTGAAGAGTGGAATTACGGCAGCGTGGAAGAATATAATTCCAAATATAGCTAAAATTACTTGATATAACACAGTGTAGTAAAAAGCAATATGGTTAGGTGGACAGAGGTTAATCACCGAACCTTTGTTAATCGTATCAATACCCAACAAGCGGGAAATCGATATGATATAGCACGCCCATGTCTTATATATGGAAAATTTCAATGAGAAATAGAAGAGATTAATGCCATCACCTTAATTTGATTTGATATGACACATATAGTATGAATAACATGATGACATTTCGAGAACAATTCATTGCTTATAATTATGTCATTGTATTCACATGACGCAGTAACTTGCTTTATATATATATATATATATATATATATATATATATATATGTAACACTCAAAAGCAACAGGCACCACCAGCGAAGGAAGAAGACGAAAATGCGAGAGGAAGGTCTTTATTTCCAGCACGCAGGGTTCGAATTACCCAGGTACAAGCTAATTATCGTCCTTTATAACAAGGTTTGACATACGGTCTTCTTCTTGCTCTAGCATGGCCACGCCCGCGTTCCTTTCTGAAAAAGAGAAAATAGAAAACTCATTTAGTGGCATCATGCTAGTTTTTATAGCATTACATCGCTCCCTCCCCTCTGGAGGCACTGTCCTCAGTGCCTGGCGGCGGTATCGGATATGCATTACCTCCATCGGTGGGCACCTCGAAGTAGGTCGTAGCCGGCGGCGGTTGCGAAGATGTCGGCGGGTCTTTGACAGCCGCTGGATAGTGTGGTTTCAGCTGGTTGTAATGCGCTGAGATGAGATTTTCTTGAGGGCGTCGTAAGTTCCGCAGGACATATGTAGTCGGAGGTCGGTGCTGTACAATTTCATATGGACCTTGCCAGGGGGAGTAGAATTTGGGGCATGAACCGGCGGGGACTGACGGACGATGCAGCCAGACGTAGTCACCCGGGGAATAAGTTGGTCCGTGGGCAAACCGATCATAATTGCTTTTCTGATGTTGTGAAGAAGACTGAAGATGCCGACGTGCCAGGTTGTAGGCTATGTCGAGGTGGTGACGAAGGTTGCGGACGTAAGGAATACAGTCGATCTTCTCATATGGTAGCAACGGTGTCCGGATCTCGACAGGAAGGCGAAGTTCACGACCAAACAGGAGCAGAGCCGGAGAAAATCCTGTCGACGAATGCACGGAGGAGCGGTATGCAAGCAAGCACTGGGGCAGGATATCGTCCCAGGTATTCTCTGGTGCATTGTGCAAAAGGCACGGAGAAGATGCTTGATGGTCCTGTTGGTGCGTTCGACCAGTCCATTCCCTTGTGGATGATAAGGCGTAGTATGGGTCTTCCGAATACCGAACGCATTGCAGATGTGAGTGATAAGAAGACTCTCGAAAGCAGCGCCTTGATCAGAGTGCAGATAAAGGGGGGCACCAAAACGGGACACCCAATTGTCGATGAAAGCGCGCCCGATCATTGGGGCAGCTTGTTGCTGCAGAGGGACCGCTTCGCACCACTTGGTGAAATAATCAACCATGACAAGTATATAACGATTACCGCGTCTCGATGCTGGTACTGGCCCAATGATATCTACGCCAACTCGATAGTTAGGGGCTTCAGTCAACATAGGCACTAAGGGTGCTCGGGGAGTTGGCTTAGGCTGTTTGATCTGCGCACATATAGCGCAATTGCGACAAAACTCCGTAACATCGTGGTGAATAAGTGGCCACCAGAAGCGTTGACGGATGGCGTGTTCAGTTTTCTGTTGGCCAGCGTGTCCCAGTTGATGATGTACTTGACTAATAAGCTCGGGTACTTTAACGGTTGGGACGAGGAGTCGGGGGTTGGCATTTGGTTCCACTATGTAAAGAACATCATCTATAAGTCGTAGTAGACCCCATTTATCGCAGATGCACCGCGTAGCTGCTGGTAAGTCCCGTAGTTCTTTAGACGTCGGTTTATCGTTCCCATGCTGTTGACGTAAATAAATGGGCTGTATTGCTGTGTCCGCCGCTTGCAGGGAGGCCCAGTCGGTGTCAGCTGCAGCACCCAGTAACACATTCAATGTGTTTTCGCAATCTGGCAGGCGAGAGAGAGCGTCGGCGTTACCATGTCGTTTTCCGGGCCGATATTCACAAGTGAAGTCAAACTCCTGTACACGTTCCTGCCAGCGGGCAAGTTGGCCCTCGGCATCACGAAAATTTTGTAGCCACTGTAACGCCTTGTGGTCAGTCCGGACTCGAAATTTGCGCCCCAATAAGTAGTGGCGAAAGTAGGCGAGAAAGTATACGAGGGCTAACATCTCACGGCGCGTCGTAGAATACCGCGTCTCTCTTTTGTCCAGCATTCGACTAGCATATGCTATCACTCGTGTTTGTCCGTCAGAGGTTGTCTGCGAAAGGACAGCTCCTATTGCGTGCGCACTGGCGTCAGTATCCAGAATAAAGGGACCGCTGTCAGCCGATGTGTCTGGAAAAGATAGAACAGGGGGAGAAGTTAGACATCTTTTAAGCGTATCAAAGGCTACCTGGCACTCATTTGTCCAAACGAATTTTCGTCCTTTTTCTGTCAAGCGATGGAAAGGGGCTGCTATACTGGCGAAATTTTGGACGAAACGCCGGTAGTAAGAGGCAAGCCCCATGAAACTGCGTACGTCAGCTGTCGATTTAGGGGTCGGCCAGTTGACAACTGCTTGGGTTTTGCTGCTATCTGTATGCACTCTTTGTGGAGTAATCTCATGTCCAAGGAAAATAACAGATTTCTGCAGGAATTTGCATTTTGAGGCTTGTAGCTTAAGATGACTCTCACGTAAGCGTTGAAATACGGCTCGAAGGTTGGCATGGTGTTCTTCGAGA